TTTTTTGGATTAGAATTTAAGTTTTAAATGAGAACACTATTTGAAATGTGTCAGGCCGGTTGGTCGCATCGACGGATGGACGACCGTAAAGAGATCGCTTGTGTCCGTTTTGCCGACCCAAGTCGACAGAATCCGGATAAATAAGTCGCATGTCCGTTTGGCGTCGCCAGTTGTCCGGTCCGAGATTTGTGTATCGACCGGTGCTCCGCCGCGTCTACTACGGCCTGCTCCTCAATCGTTAGCCATTGGCCTGCGGTAAAGTAAAACGCTGTGGAGAGGAAAACCGTGGTGTGATATGGTACAGAAACTAACTCGACCAGTCTCATGACGGCGAGCGCGCACCGTAAGAATCAATCAAGATGCATGTTTCCATTCCGCAGAGGCAGGCACGAGCACGACACGACGCGGTGAGGCCCTCCCATCCCATGTGCCTGCTTTCGGCCGTGGCCATTCCACCATTCCATTCCGGCGCAAGAGAGCCTCGCAGACGATAGACTAGTCTAGCACGACGCGGCGAGGCCTTGCGTGAGCATTTCCATGTTCATTCCTCTGTGTTCCTCAGTGTCTGCCCATCCTCTTCCCTACGAATTGCGCGCGCAACGCTCCATCTCGCTGTCTCCAAAACCACAACCACAACCACCGTTACGGTACGTGCCAGCTCAATGGAGTACTGGGAACCCGATGAGCAGCATCTCGGTGACCTCGGGGTCGCCGGCATCGGCCGCGAGGCCCTCCGAGTTCTCAGCGCCGTCCTCCCCAGCTTCGTCTCCCACGTACCCAACATATTCGTCTTCCTTGCCCACGTCTTCGGATGCGTCACGGTCTTCTCCAGCCTCGTCTCCGGCGACCTCTCCAGGCTTCTCCACCTCTTCTTCTCCCCGTCCTTCTTCTACTTCCTCTGCGATTCCGCCGTCATGGAAGGGTACGACATGCTGTTCGTGCTCTCCGTCGCCTCCTTCTACCGCAACAAGGGCGCCGGCCGGGCGGGGCCCATGGCCATCCCACGCCTCCTTAGACGCATCAATCGCGACCAGCGCCTCCGGCACTGCGCCACCTTCCTGCTGGCTGTCACCGCCTTCGGAGCTTACGCCGCCGTCTTCGGGTCCGCCTGGCGGACGCTCCGCCTGCTCGATGCTCCGGGCGAGATCGTCCTGCCGCTGCGACTGCTGGGCGGGGCCGCGTGCCTCGCCGGGGCGGTGTACCTCGCCGTGCTGCAAAGCCTCTCTGGTAGTAATGCTAATTAAGTTGTCTTTCTACTGGCCAATTAAGCTTTTCTTCGGTATAATAAAACTAGACAATTCAGCTACAGTGCTTTTTGGATTGCTAGTTGTGGAACTCTGCTTGCGATGCATGCGCTTATTAGTATTGGATATGTGTTTTTATGGTTGGATATATCTTGTTTGGTAATTGGATATGTGTGTGAGTTACTAGTCTATATTACAATTCTTGAGACTATCAACTGTTGCAGACTATGTGCATTGGGAGGAGCTGTATAACTGTTGGGAGTACGTATTTATGCCATTGTCTTGCTTCTGAGCTTGTACATTTGCCAGTAAAAAAGGTCATGCACTGAAATTTAGCTTGATCAGACATAACGTGCCTCCAAACACGCCCTATACATGTTGCAATTGTGACAATTTATTTTTCTCAACAAATGGATAATGCTCCTCATAAAAGGAAAAAAACCCGCGGAAAAAAGGAAAAAAATTGGTTGTGCTCGTGTTTATATTGCAACCACATCATGGTTAGGAGACCTATATGGTGCTAATTTGGAGCTAGGAAGAGTTATTTCTTTGGAATGTGTCAATTTGGGTGACAAAGGAGTACGTTTTGAACTTCAAGTGGATAATCTTTTGGTGCCATGCCACCTTAATGCCAGCCTTTGGATTTTAGTACTTGTAACAGTTTTGCAATGAATTTGGGTGTGCAACTTCAAATGCTTGCAGATGCTCGGGTAGCCATCCATCGTCTAAAAAGATCTCGGAAAAACAATCCCTTCTGCGTAGTGAGTGCTGCATACAAAAAAATTGAAGAAAAAACCTCACATACATAAGAAGAAACCTCACGAGTGAACAGTAAGTTCGTAAAAGAAAAATACAAAATAAAACTCTTGCCTTCTTTGAATTATAGAAAATAAAAGAGAACAATTATAAATATTACACATAATTTTTTTCTACACAAGGCACAAAAGTCATATGTTTTCAGGAAGTTTTCAAGCACACAAAGGTACCTAGGCACAGGTATGTTTTGTCTTTTTGGAACTGTTTGACATTTGAAAACATTTTGTCCGCTTCATCAAAAGGAAAAGCAGAAGAGTTGCTAACAGAGAAGGAAGTTAATTTGGCGGTCGTGTCAATTTAGACGGTCGTGAGAGTTGCTAACTTTTTCTTTTGCACTTTCTTTGCTTTCCTCCTTGTCAGTTGTCACCTTTGTCATCTCTCTATACATATTCCGGCCAGCATTTGTTGGGTCTTTAAAAAAAAATATGGTGCAACCTTCCACTTCCATCACAAACCAAGATGGAGAAGAGCGTGAGGTCCGGCCGGTCATAGCAGCAGCAGCCGGTGGGCCGGCCGTGTCAGTGGCGGGGAAGGCAAGCCCGCCGCGTCGTTCCGGTCAATCGACTCCGCCGCGTCCAGCTGCTCGCCTCCCTCTCAGTCGACACGTACTACAGGCTAGAGCCTACAGATGGCTCAGCTGGTTTCCGTTTCCGGCAAAGCACCCACCAGGGACGCGCACCGTCGAGCCCAGCATCGACGCAAAAATGGCAAAAGGTCTGGCGACGCGGCCACCCTTTCGTCTCCGTCAGCGATGCAACCTTTAATGGCCGCCCACAGCTACTTCTGCTAGGTGGTGGTAGGAGAGTACCGAGCAGTACGTGCTTGCTTGCTTTCGTGGAAATGGCCCCATGCACCCAGATCATCTCCACTGAGGCCTCTTTTGGTTTGTAGGAATCTCATAAGATTTTTATAGGATAGAATTTGTATAGGAAATTTTTCTTTGAAGTCTTTTGGTTTGTAGGAATGAATTCCTATTCATATGTAGGATAGGAATCAATCATTCATATTTTGAAGGAAAAAAACATTAGCTAAGGCCTCTTTTGGTTCATGGGATATGATTATCATAGGAATAGGAATCTTGTAGGAAATGAGATGACATGTATCTCAAATCCTATGAGTAGGAATAGAAAACAAGATGTCATTTGGTTGCATCAAAAGAATTTTTCCATTGAGTCTAGGCTCTTTTTTATTTTCCTATGAAATGTGGAGAATAGGAACCAATCCTATGTAGGAATAGGAATCCATTCCTATGAATCAAAGGGCTCTAAAGGAAACAATCCTATAAGAATCCTATCCTCTAGAATTCCTATGAAATTCCTCTAAACCAAACGAGGCCTAAGACTCGATGGAAAAATTTCTATCCTATGCATCAAATGACATCTCTTTCTTTATAAGAATTGAGATACATATCATCTCACTTCCTATGATCTTTCTATTCCCAGTGGCGGAGCTAGGATTTGAAAACAGGGTGGCCCACCTCTAAAAATTTTGACAACAAATATAACATGTGAACGATGTAATTAATTTACCAATGGCACATAGAATAGATCAATATGTTCATATAGACATACTAAAGTTCTCAATTAAGTGTTAGTTTTGCATAAAAGAAGTTTAAAGAAGCATCTTTTCGAAAAAGAGAAGCAATGTCTCCGGTCCTTTTCATTCTTCAATAACTCTGCAATAATAATTCGAATTTTTTTCAATCATAAGTTCATAACCAGTAAACCCAAATTTGTATCATGTAGACAATTTGCATGTCTCTGAATACGAAACTACATTATATTCAGAAATTTTATATTGTAGTTTCGAGTTCCAATATATCTAGATATTTCAATTATGCAACTTTCTTGTGCAATGGACAAGAGAAAGGAAAACAAACTGTTGTTTTGACCATCTACATACAGCCATATACATGCATACAGCCAGACCTGCCTGCTACAACCAGTAGCGGATCTAGGAAAATCAACGATGGTAATTGTACTTGACAACCAGCAACAGGGAGCAAGCTGCTTGCATTGGGCTAATTTGGGCAACGAGTCTGAAGGAACCAATGGAACGAGTGGTGAGTGTCGGCCTAATAAGTGTATTTGGCCACAGTGCAGTGTTGAACTGGTACCAGCTTCTGATGGGCTTTTTACTCTTTTTTTACCACTCTATGTCTCCTATAGTATATGGGCTGATCTAAAATTTCAGGGTGGGCCACGGCCCACCCTGTCCACCCTCTAGATTTGCCCCTGCCTATTTCTATAACATTCATATCCTATAAATCAAAGGAGGCCTGAAAGCAAAGTGTGAAACGCGCGGCCAAGGTCTATTCCTCAAAGCGTAAATCTCAAAGCACCTCTATTCCGGTGCAAGAAACGAACCGATGCCGTGGTATACCTGAACTGGAAGCAAAGTGACTGGTGAGGGTGAAACGCGGGACGAATGGCGTGCAGCAGAGCGTGAAACTCTCACGACCATGCATACGTACGTCCTTCTCCGTGTTTTAGTTTAAACACACGCATATACCCTCGGCCCGTCTTCCTTCGGCCGGTCACATGAGAAAAGATGTTTTAGACATGCATGCTCTAGAGAGTTCACGAAATATATACTCCCTCCGCCGCAGCTCCCTCTCCCCCCCCCCCACGCGTCGCCTCCCCTTTGGCGGCTCCAGGGGCCCCCGATCCCTAGCCGCCACTCCCTCCTCACTGCTCCATCCCCAGCCACCGCTGCCGCCGGCAACGGCGGGCCCTGCACCGCGGATCCAGGGCGGGTGGTCGCCGCGGCGGACCCTGTGAGGCGGAAGCGGCGTCTCATGCGGGGAGGCCGGGGGCGGCAGTCAGGGCGGTACCCCTGCTGCACGGCGGCGATGAGAGCCTTCGTGGCCGACGGTGTGGCGGTTGCGTGCGCATGGGTGGCTCTGATGGCTGCGGATCTGGCGTTCTGTCCAGATCCGTCTCGGTACGGCCTTGGCCGGCCGGTGGTGCGAGGGGGACCGGTAAGGGGCGGCTGCAGGCTCCCTGCCGGCGTGTCGACGGCGGCCCTCGTCTCCATGGCGAGGCTCCGTTCAGTTCCAGCTAGCTGCGAGGTTGGGGGTGACTTTCGGTGAAAATCGCGTCGACTTTGATCATAGCGGAATATGGCGGCGTCTATGACGTCGTCCTTTTCGAGGCATCGTTGTTGCAGGTCGTGGCACCCTACTCGTGATGCTCCGGAGGAAACCCTAGATCTGGATCTGCCGGATCGGACGATGATGGTACCTTTGATGCCGTTGTCCCTTTTGAGGATATCGTTTTGGAGCAAGTGCTCTGGTTGGACGGGATAAGCGAAAGAGCGGTGTCTCATCCACCGCAAGGTCGATGACGGGTCCCGCTGGCATGGCGCTGCAGGGGTTTGGCGACGGGCGCGTGTGGACGGATACATGCGGCATGGTGGAGTTGTCCGGCGTCGTGGTGGCGTCGACGGCAAGCCAGGCAAGGTTAATGGATTAGTTATTGCTCTGGAGATGGACCGGTGGAAGATGGCGGTGGCAACCTCTAAGAGTGTGTCGGTCCGGTATGGGACCCAGTCCCGATGTGTGACTGGGCTGGGGCATCCGGCTTTAGATGTTAGGGTTTGGTGTGATGTCCGTTTGATATTAGGCCCGAATATTTGGCACACCTTCACCAATGGGATAGGAGTAGCAACAGGTGTTTCCTAAATGATGGCTTCAGGCTTACTGATGTATTACTTTATATGGTCTTCATGAATAATTAATAAAATGGCCGCATGCATCGTCTAGATACAGAGGCCGGAGGTCTATCCTCCTTTTTTTTAAAGTCACTACAATGTCTACAACTACGCATAAAACGAAACTTTAACTGCTACTCTCTCCGTCCGAAAATACTTGTCATCAAAATGTATAAAAAGATATGTAACTAGAACTAAAATACATTTAGATACATCTCCTTTTATCTATTTTGATGACAAGTATTTTCGGACGAAGGAAGCACCTAGTATTACACATATGATTTTAAAGCATGCATGCTCTGGATAGTTATCCACGTGTCCACTATACCACACAATTCTATATTTTTTTCTTTTGAAGGAAGGCCATGCTAGCTAGCTTTATATTAAATTAAAAAATCGTTGCATCCTATATGAGCTTACCAACAACAATGTCAACGGCTCGTTTAACCAACTAAAAAAACTTATTACAATAGTTATGGTTTGCTAGTATATGAGCCACTTGATTACATGAGCAAAGACAATGCTTAAAAGTGACATTCTCGATCATAGTACTATATCCAAGTTAATGACTTTGAGTGAATCTGATTCCACCTCGATCTGGTTAAAATCAAGAGAATTTGCAAATGCCAATCCTTC